GCCGGTTTCAAGTTCATGTCGACTAAGACTTTTTGCTCGATGGTACCCATGTAGAAGTTTGCAAACAGGACACCTAGGGGAGAACCCATGGCGACCCCATCTACTTGCTTATACATGTGCCCATCCGGGCTCAAGAAGGGTGCCTCTTTAGTACAAGCTTGGAGTAGTTTCCTCAGAATACTTTCTGGCATGTCAAGAGGAGTACAGGCTGGATCACGATACACTCTGTCGCTATCATTCCGATTGTCTCGTCCACAGGTACGTTGGTAAACAGCGATTCTACGTCCAACGAGGCTCTTATCCCTTATCCCTGAAATTAATATATTTTCTCTAATTTTTTTCTTAGGAAATGATAAAGCTACCCATTTCATTGTGTATGAGGTAAAATTTTTTTTATTGGAGTTAAAATTAACGTAGATATATGACCGAACCTAACCAACCCTACCTAACCTAACCTAACCAATCTTTATAGGTTAGGTTAGGTTATGTAGCAGAAAAAGTTAGGTTAGGTTAGGTTAGGTAGGTTAGGTAGTCGAAAAACAATTAATTCATGGAAACTTGGCTTATTAGGCAAATCGGGCCTTGCATAGTAGGCTGAGAAGTGCGTTCTGGCTACTAGGTACGACATATATATATATATATATATATATATATATATATATATATATATATATATATATATATATATATATATATATATATATATATATATATATATATATATATATATATATATTCATCAATGTTCCCATTGTTGTGTTTTTCAAGAGATCCATAACCTTTAAGCACCGTTTTGCATTATTATTTTTGTATCAACCCATGTATATCTTGTAACCATCAAATGCATAATAAAGCACAAAAAATAAAAAAGGAAGGGGGTGGTAGGAGAAAAGCACACAGAAACTGTATTGGAGGGGATCTAAACATTCCCTCTAATGCGTTATGTGTGGTTTCCTCCGAGGCTATGGGTCCCCCTTCTTCCAGCTAGAGGTGGTACTCCCTTCCCTATATATTATATATATATATATATATATATATATATATATATATATATATATATATATATATATATATATATATATATATATATGTCGTACCTAGTAGCCAGAATGCACTTCTCAGCCTATTATGCAAGGCCCGATTTGCCTAATAAGCCAAGTTTTCATGAATTAATTGTTTTTCGACTACCTATCCTACCTAACCTAACCTAACCTACCTTTTTGGGCTACCTAACCAAACCAAACCTATAAAGATAGGTTAGGTTAGGTTAGGTAGGGTTGGTTAGGTTCGGTCATATATCTACGTTAGTTTTAACTCCAATAAAAAAAAAATTGACCTCATACATAATGAAATGGGTAGCTTTATCATTTCATAAGAAAAAAATTAGAAAAAATATATTAATTCAGGAAAACTTTGCTTATTAGGCAAATCGGGCCTTGCATAGTAGGCTGAGAAGTGAGTTCTGGCTACTAGGTACGACATATATATATATATATATATATATATATATATATATATATATATATATATATATATATATATATGTCGTACCTAGTAGCCAGAACGCACTTCTCAGCCTACTATACAAGGCCCGATTTGCCTAATAAGCCAAGTTTTCATGAATTAATTGTTTTTCGACTACCTAACCTACCTAACCTAACCTAACCTAACTTTTTCGGCTACCTAACCTAACCTAACCTATAAAGATAGGTTAGGTTAGGTTAAGTAGGGTTGGTTAGGTTCGGTCATATAACTACGTTAATTTTAACTCCAATAAAAAAAATTTACATCATACATAATGAAATGGGTAGCTTTATCATTTCATAAGAAAAAAATTAGAGAAAATATATTAATTCATGAAAACTTGGCTTATTAGGCAAATCGGGCCTTGCATAGTAGGCTGAGAAGTGCGTTCTGGCTACTAGGTACGACATATATATATATATATATATATATATATATATATATATATATATATATATATATATATATATATATATATATATATATATATGTCGTACCTAATAGCCAGAACGCACTTCTCAGCCTACTATTCAAGGCCCGATTTGCCTAATAAGCCAAGTTTTCATGAATTAATGTTTTTTCATCTACCTAACCTACCTAACCTAACCTAACCTAGCTTTTTTTTGCTACCTAACCTAACCTTACCTATAAATATAGGTTAGGTTAGGTTAGGTAGGGTTGGTTAGGTTCGGTCATATATCTACGTTAATTTTAACTCCAATAAAAAAAAATTGACCTCATACATAGAGAAAAGGGTTGCTTTATCATTTCATGAGAAAAAAATTATAGTAAATATATTAATTCAGGAAAACTTGGCTTATTAGGCAAATCGGGCCTTGAATAGTAGGCTGAGAAGTGAGTTCTGGCTACTAGGTACGACATATATATATATATATATATATATATATATATATATATATATATATATATATATATATATATATATATATATATATATATATCCATTAACGCTCGAGGTGTCTATCGAGAGCCGCGCATGCACAATAAGGAAGAGGAGGAAGACGGGAGAGCGTCACCAGAGAGAGCCGACTTGGACGCCATTGACAGCGTGCAGCAGAAAGCTACGTTTCGACCGTACTTATTTCGCTCCCACGACCAGTAGAGCGGTGCCACGTTATTTGCCAAATTATAGCCGTGTCCCAGACTAGTATATCTGCAATTTCATAGTCAACGTCTTTCAAGCAGCAGCAGGAGGACGAAGGATTACTCAATTCTCAACATCAACGGACACGCGGCTCGGCAGCTAGGTTCACCTGTTTGTTATCATGTGGCCACAGTTAACATTTAGTCTAGTTGTCGTTAGGCCGTATATAAAATAATAAAATCCCCTACGTGTCTTTAGTAATTTTACAATCTAAATAGATGAATATTTTCATTATTTCTGCAGAAGAAATTTACAGTGCTTGAATATAATTTGCACAGATATTGGCTGAAGATTTCTACAGTTATCCTTATAATAGAGGATGTATTTGTAGTTACCTATTATGTAGAAGATTTCTACAATGTAATTGCCTTCCAATTTGCCCTATGCAACACGTCGTCGGTGGAGCGTGGCAACCGATTACACCTCTCTAGGTGTAATCCCTTGTCTCTCTAAGTGTAAGCTAAAAGGGACAGCTAAGCTGTCCATTTTTTATCTGTAGTAACAACTCTGTAGTTACAGTAATGATCTCCCAAAGAGATCAATTACATTAACCCTTTGATTTATATGTACCGTACTATTCTATCCAGCAGTATATTGAGGTGCATTTATCTCCAATTAATATTATATAATCAACCTTATTTACTTTCATAAGTTATTTACTCTGGTGAAGAACCAGCACCAGAATAAGGCAAGGGATGTATAAATCTTTTAGCATGTAACCCCCCAATTTTGTGCAGGTTAATTTGACTCCATTTATATAAGAAAAACAGTTTCACTAAGATCCATAAGGCACTAGTTCTTGGAATCAGTTTAATCAATTGTCTCATTTTGTTTTCCACTTTTTCTCAAAAAGTGGTGGTCCTTAATAGCTATCGAAGTATTTATTTAATTACAAGTTATTGGAGTCGGGTTTCCCTCCACAGGGGTTTCTGTAGTGACAGTTGCTCCATGGGGTCTGTGTAGTGACGCAGGTAGTCCATGGGGTTTCTGTAGTGACACAGGTGGTCCATGGAGGTATCTGTAGCGACGCAGGTGGTCCATGGGATTTCTGTAGTGACACAGGTGCTCCATGGGGTCTGTGTAGTGACACAGGTGCTCCATGGGGTCTGTGTAGTGACACAGGTGCTCCATGGGGTCTGTGTAGTGATGCAGGGTCCATGGGGTCTGTGTAGTGATGCAGGTGGTCCATGGGGGTCTGTGTAGTGACGCAGGTGGTCCATAGGGTCTCTGTAGTGACGCAGGTGTCCATGAGGTCTGCGTAGTGACGCAGGTGGTCCATCCGGTCTGTGTAGTGACGCAGGTGGTCCATGGGGTCTTTGTAGTGTCGCAGGTGATCTCATGGGGTATGTGTAGTGACGCAGGTGATCCATGGGATCTCTGTAGTGACGCAGGTGATCCATGGGATCTCTGTAGTGACGCAGGTGGTCCATGGGGTCTCTGTAGTGACGCAGGTGGTCCATGGGGTCTCTGTAGTGACGCAGGTATTTCGGAAGGGTCTCTGTAACGACGCAGGGGGGGGGCCTGGCTGTCTTTAGAGCGACGCAGGGGGTGAGGGGATCTCTGTAGCAACGAAGAGGGCCTGAGAAGATCTCTGTGACGATGCAGGAGGCCCGAAATGGTTTCTATGGCGACGCAAGAGGCCCGGGAGGGTCTCTTTGGGGACTCCACAGTAGGGCTTGGGAGGGGAACCTCTTGGTTAATGGGCGGGGGCGGGAAGGTCGGGACCATGAGCTGATGTACAACCCACACAAAGATTTGTGTTCATTTAGCAAACTACACGCACTGCACTAATATATTATTACAAACAATTAAACAGATGCATATGATTTTAAACAAATATCCTATTTTGTATACAAGGATTTTCATGTTAAGAGACAAAGGTGCAAGGTAATTGCTTGGAGAAAGCGCTAAGCCAGCATTATGATATAGCACTTGGAAGTGGAATGATGGCAGGATAGAAGCTGGAATAGGAATAAAGAGACACCGTCCAAACACTTACTGTCGTTGACCGAATGCCGACTTGTAAGAAGCAACACCGTGTTTATACTGACCAGTCAAAGTTACAAGAAAAAAATAATTACTACAATAAAATTTGGGTGGATTGTGGAGATGGAGAATGTGTGGATTCCCCAACCTAGCAGGGTTTCCCAAGGTGGTAGGCGGGGCAGAGGATTTCTTTCTGAGAATGTCAGGACAGACTTTACATTGTATTAGGCGAGACGTGAGAGAAACACAATGAGCACCACTATATATATAGCGGCACAGCCTCATTTCATCTACAACATAACCTCTACCCTCGCAAGCTGTGAGTGTTGAACCACGTACCGGGTTAACCCTCGGCAAGTGTTGAACCACGTACCGGGTTAACCCTCGGCAAGTGTTGAACAAGATACCGTGTCCACTCTTGACAAGTGTTTAACTACATGCCAGGTCTCCCCTCGGCAAGTGTTTAATTTTTAGCTCATTATAGTAGTAGTAGTAGTAGTAATTGATATTAATTGTTACACCACCCCTGACCGAGTGAATATCGACCCGCCCATTTTAACACCCGACTTTAATTCTTTTTGGAAGGGAGGTGTGACGATGTCAACGCCATCTGTTGAGCTCACCCGGCCCATTTTTTGTTTCCCCGGTGGAAAGCTGTATCATATTTGATCCCTATTTAATTTATGTTTTACTAAGTTATGTACAGAGTGGAAGGAGACAATAAGGTTTGGGGCCCAACCATGACAAGGTATACATTACAGCAATACCTTTATTTAAAATAGTTGAAACCTTCACTTAAAATAGTTTACTGGTGTTTGAGTAGTGAGCAATAACCCTATTTGTATTCATCTATTTGTGCTTGATGGATTCAGCTGTTAGTTCTTTGACTCTGCCTTTCCAAACGGCGGTTCTGTCTTACTAATCACATTTTAGTCCGCAGAAGTGATGTGGGTGGTTTCTTGGGCGACAGGAATCAGTTCACCCACGGCAGTCCTGAGCTAAAGTTCACATACTTAATGGTTTTCTTAGTCTCTCTGAAGGTGGCAGCCCCACCACCTTCAGTTTAAATGTGCCATAGTTTGGTATTAGCCAATATAGATGCACACATGAAGTCCCACACAACCTATTTGTCATCCCTCCAAGGTTACAGGGTAGCTCCATTCGGGCACTTGTGATTGTTGTTAGGTCTGCACATTTGAGGCTCCCTTTGTGCTGGACACTCGGCTGTAGTCAACCCTCGTAATGTCATTGACTGTTTTATGTTTGTCAATCTTCCTGAATTGTTACATATGTGACCATGGGAGCCGGTCGGCCGAGCGGACAGCACGCTGGACTTGTGATCCTGTGGTCCCGGGGTCGATCCCGGGCGCCGGCGAGAAACAGTGGGCAGAGTTTCTTTCACCCTATGCCCCTGTTACCTAGCAGTAAAATAGGTACCTGGGTGTTAGTCAGCTGTCACGGGCTGCTTCCTGGGGGTGGAGGCCTGGTCGAGGACCGGGCCGCGGGGACACTAAAGCCCCGAAATCATCTCAAGATAACTCAAGATAACTCAAGATATGGTTGCCACATTGGTCTGTTAATGAATAGTTGCAGATACACCAGTAATCGGTGGAGATAGGGATGGCAAAGATCAGAGCAACACCAATAAATAAGGCCTGATGGCCCAGATGGGTGCCAAAGGTGGAATTAGGGACAGCCAACAGGAAGTCCCCAACATGAGGGGCTTGCACAGTTAGGAATGCTGTATTCTTTCCAGAAGAATACATTGTTCCAGCATTGCTGGTGCAATGTTCTCCATTATGAGCCTATTGCAGTCATCTGGAGTTGGCGTGTAGAGCCTGCAAGAGTATCCCATTGGCTGACTCCTTCGGTGAATTTAGGATCTGAATCCCAATAGTCTCTTAAGTGCTCTGGAAAGATCTCACAAATTGACTTGCATCACTGGTCTAGGATATGAAAGCAATGTATGTTGCCTTGCATACACCTATACTACGGAGTCTGAAGCCTGATGTTTGGAGACTACCCTGATCCAACTTCGCACAGTGATTGCTGTAGGTTGTGTGCCCAACATGGTCAGGTTGGGGTCAGTCCCATTGTGGCTCCCCTCAGTGAAATTGTTGGCAGGTGGCTGGCCAAGTTCCTAGATCTCTGGACTGGTGAGTCAGAAGTTATTTAGTGTCAGCCTTCATGCTAGATTGATTAAAGCACTACGTCGACCCAGTTGACCTCCGTTGCCTGAACAATGTCAGGTAACACATAAAGTATAATAGAGGAACTATACTTGATGACTTTTAAAAATAAGTATTTATTAATCTCATATATTTCAGGTTTATCTAGTGGATGATGGGCAAGCCACAGTGGATGCTGGTGTTAGTGGGTACATGGAGTATGTTTGTGGTGGTGGCGGCAGAGGACACCATTGTTAATTCGTACCTGACAGAGCCTTTGTGGCTAGGGGTTGGCTTCCAAAATCGTAATTGCCGTGAACTGCAAGATCACGGCCACAAGACCAGTGGTGTTTACACCATCTATCCGTACGACTGCTGCCCAAAACGTCCTGTTCGTGTCTATTGTGATATGGACTCTAATGGAGGAGGATGGACTGTAATTCAGCGTCGAGAAGATATACTCCCGCGGAAAGAATTCTACCGCACATGGATGGAATACGCCTTGGGCTTTGGTAATCTCTCTGGCGAGTTTTGGCTTGGACTCGACCACATTCACGCCCTCACTGAGCAGACACTCAACCAAATATACTTTGACCTGGCAGACTTTGACAATGCCATCCGATGGGCACAGTACCAATTCTTTTATGTCCATGACAGGAGTGCCTCTTATAAAGTTGGGGTTAATGGGTATACTGGAGATGCTGGTGATGGCTTCAGCTTTGTCAATGGCCAGAGATTTACTACCAAGGATAAGGATCTTGACACTTTTGGAGGAAACTGTGCTGTAAGGTAAGATCACTAAAATATTGTACATCTGTGTGCTTGTATTTGAATGAAGAGAAACTGGAAGTGGTTAATATGTTCAGGTGTTAACCAACATTCCTTCATGTTTTATCGTTAATATATTTTGAGAATGCAATATTTGCAAAGAAGAATTCATAATTCTCCACGAACTCTTAGAGCTCCAAAGCTCTATATTTAGAATTTTGTTATAAAATTTAAAGCACAGCTGTATATGATGTTACACAACATCAGGTAAAACGTGGTGCAATTTTAAATTATAGCACAATCTGTGACCTAAACATGGGTATCATTTAGTGGACATGAGGGTGCCTTCTGTTCCAAATACATTTTGGACAAAAATACTCATACACACTTTAACATTATATATCCGAATTAAAAAACTAGTGTTACGTTGCAAGTTCACAAAGTATATACATAACACCAAATTTAGATTATGCTTTATGGAAAATTAAACTTCACCTGTTAGGACTTTATTATGGTGATATTTTGATTATAACAAATGTATACAAATTTGCGACTCTAGCTGGACTGAGCAGGTGTACAACCATAAATTAATGGCTGTACTTTGAACAACCATATATGTGGAAAGAACATAAACAAATAACTGGACCAGTAGAAATTAAAAATAGAGATGCACGTGTTGTTTGGAGAATAGACTGGGCAAGTGATTCAATTTTAATGGAAAGATTCAGTGTCCAAAAGTTTGTACATCACCAGATCGAGTATACTGTACTATATACTTTATCGAGATGGTTTGATCATAGTCATGAAACAATTGACAGACTGGTGAAGAAAGGATAGAGTAGATTGAAAAGATGAACAGACATAGTGCGAGTGAAAGAGTAGCTACATGAACCTCTAACTGGTAAAAATACTGACTTGTCTGCATGTGTTATGTATATTATTCTCTGGATACCATACATTACTTGTGTTTGTTCTATAAACTAAGTTCATAACCCCCTTCTTGAGTCTTACCTTGACCTCACTAATCATCCTGTCTGTGTATATGTTGAATAACAAAGATGACTTTTCACACACACACAAATAACTAATTACTGGTTGTATATTTAACGTGCACATATGAACCACTTCCTACAAAGACACTTTATGCAACATTTAACTGAACTCCACACATTGAAAGTAATAAACTCCTCAGCAGTGTTCATCACATTTCTACACACCATGATCTAAGTTTCACCATTGATGATGATCATGAAAACTGTCTATAACACAAAGTTCCATCTAATTTTAACTATATATATATATATATATATATATATATATATATATATATATATATATATATATATATATATATATATATATATATGTCGTACCTAATAGCCAGAACGCACTTCTCAGCCTACTATTCAAGGCCCGATTTGCCTAATAAGCCAAGTTTTCATGAATTAATGTTTTTTCGTCTACCTAACCTACCTAACCTAACCTAACCTAGCTTTTTTTGGCTACCTAACCTAACCTTACCTATAAATATAGGTTAGGTTAGGTTAGGTAGGGTTGGTTAGGTTCGGTCATATATCTACGTTAATTTTAACTCCAATAAAAAAAAATTGACCTCATACATAGAGAAAAGGGTTGCTTTATCATTTCATAAGAAAAAAATTATAGTAAATATATTAATTCAGGAAAACTTGGCTTATTAGGCAAATCGGGCCTTGAATAGTAGGCTGAAAAGTGAGTTCTGGCTACTAGGTACGACATATATATATATATATATATATATATATATATATATATATATATATATATATATGTCGTACCTAATAGCCAGAACGCACTTCTCAGCCTACTATGCAAGGCCCGATTTGCCTAATAAGCCAAGTTTTCCTGAATTAATATATTTTCTCAATTTCTTTTCTTATGAAATGATAAAGCTACCCATTTCATTATGTATGAGGTCAATTTTTTTTATTAGAGTTAAAATTAACGTAGATATATGACCGAACCTAACCAACCCTACCTAACCTAACCTAATCTATCTTTATAGGTTAGGTTAGGTTAGGTAGCCGAAAAAGTTAGGTTAGGTTAGGTTAGGTAGGTTAGGTAGCCGAAAAACAATTAATTCATGAAAACTTGGCTTATTAGGCAAATCGGGCCTTGAATAGTAGGCTCAGAAGTGCGTTCTGGCTACTAGGTACGACATATATATATATGTCGTACCTAATAGCCAGAACGCACTTCTCAGCCTACTATTCAAGGCCCGATTTGCCTAATAAGCCAAGTTTTCATGAATTAATGTTTTTTCGTCTACCTAACCTACCTAACCTAACCTAACCTAGCTTTTTTTGGCTACCTAACCTAACCTTACCTATAAATATAGGTTAGGTTAGGTTAGGTAGGGTTGGTTAGGTTCGGTCATATATCTACGTTAATTTTAACTCCAATAAAAAAAATTGACCTCATACATAGAGAAAAGGGTTGCTTTATCATTTCATAAGAAAAAAATTATAGTAAATATATTAATTCAGGAAAACTTGGCTTATTAGGCAAATCGGGCCTTGAATAGTAGGCTGAGAAGTGAGTTCTGGCTACTAGGTACGACATATATATATATATATATATATATATATATATATATATATATATATATATATATATATATATATATATATATATATATATATATATATATATATATATATATATGTAAAATTAATATGCAGTTAATTTAATTACTACTTTATCCTCTAAGTAAATAATGAAAACGACTAATCCCTCTCAAAATAATTATCTCAGAAATGTTGCCTAACAAACTCTAATAACATTGCAGTACTTGGTATTAAACTTCTTACTGTAATATAAGAACAGAAAATTTGTTTAAATAATGAATGTTCCATACAAAATATCCGTAAAATATATTGTTCTTACATTCTTGTACAAGCATAATGTTTGTATGTTGATATAATGGAATGTTGTTAAGATGATAATTTGATTTCAGTCACTTGGGCGCTTGGTGGTACACGAGCTGTCATTCGTCAAACCTAAATGGCAAATATCACAAAGGTAACCACACCTCTTATGCCGACGGTGTCAACTGGTATCCTTTTCGAGGTCATCACTACTCCCTCAAGAGAACCGAGATGAAGATCAGACCAGCATACTAAGGTCTTGTAAAGCATTATAAAAAGTGAAAGTGATTACAGAAAATTACTACTTATACAATGTGAAACACAAAATAACCTGATGTATTACAAATATTCTTACACTAGTACATCTAGTGAATGATCTCTGGGAGATACATCCATATATTATGGTTATAAAAGAATCGGTTTTGTATGCAGGACTGTAGAATTATACTGTTAAATTATTAGTTTACAGATTTTTAATATTGTAGTCAGCACGTAAGAAAGTACATCTGGTGAAATTTTGAAAATAAAATTCATATTTTGATAAGTCACAACAATGGTATTTATTTCTTCATGCATCTTTAAGGGCAAATTTTGTCTTTCATACAAAATCTCGCCAGATGTACTAGTCTATATCCTGAGTAGGAATAATGGATAAAACAAAATTCATATAATTCCACACAACCTCACTAGTAAAATATTAGGACACCTGTTACATTAATGAGGTTATATGGAATAATTAAAATTTGTTTATTGTTATTCACTATCTTTCATGAAACTTGAAATCAAAGTGTTCATTATTGATTGTTAACCTGACGTGAGAACTAAAATGTTCCCAGACTGAAAATTCTCCATGGTTCTCTTGAATTGTTCAGTCAGTTAAATATCTGCATCCAAATAAATTTTCTTCAACTTTATTAGTTGCTACAGCTGTAAAATTTTGTTTGAATAAAATTAAATGAAGATTTGTTTTTGAATTAGAGACCTACACATATGGCAATTAACTGATCATTCAGATCACAAATTATAAAGTTTATACTTGATCCCTTCTTAATGTATAAAATACTAGGGAATAATGACAAAATTTTCCTGAGAGCCACCATATATCTAGCAGTCTTGACAGGATGTTTGTCTCCTGCGGATTATTACTATTAGAAATTGATTATATATAATAATAATATATATATATATATATATATATATATATATATATATATATATATATATATATATATATATATATATATATATATATATATATATATATATATATATATATATATATATATATATATATATATATATATATATATATATATATATATATATATATATATATATAATATATATATATATATATATATATATATATATTAGTATATTTTGGTAGCAGTCTTTCCTGTAAACATATATTATTAAATATGACCGAAAAAGTAAGATTAATTATTCTAACACGAATTTTCTCGATCTTTCGTACATTTCTTTTCACTGTTGGTGGTAATTCAAAAATCAATTCTCCAAAATTCATTTTTATTTCTAGTCTGACGCGACACTTGAGCGCGTTTCGTAAAACTTATTATATTTTCAAAGACTTTAGTTTACACATACTCAACTAAATAGAACTTACACATCTCCGATTTGTTTATATCTACATTTGAGTGAGGTGGATGGGGTGAGGTGGTATTTAATAGGGTATTAATTTCATCAACACAAGACAGAACACGAAACAATGGGTATTGAATGGAAGTGATTGTAGAAAGCCTATTGGTCCATATTTCTTGATGCTTCTATATTGGAGCGGAGTCTTGAGGTGGGTAGAATATAGTTGTGCATTAATTGGCTGTTGATTGCTGGTGTTGACTTTTTAATGTGTAGTGCCTCGCAAACGTCAAGCCGCCTGCTATCGCTGTATCTATCGATGATTTCTGTGTTGTTTACTAGGATTTCTCTGGCGATGGTTTGGTTGTGGGAAGAGATAATATGTTCCTTAATGGAGCCCTGTTCCTTATGCATCGTTAAACGCCTAGAAAGAGATGTTGTTGTCTTGCCTATATACTGGGTTTTTTGGAGCTTACAGTCCCCAAGAGGGCTTTTGAAGGCATAGACGACGTTGGTCTCTTTTAAAGCGTTCTGCTTTGTGTCTGGAGAGTTTCTCATGAGTAGGCTGGCCGTTTTTCTGGTTTTATAGTAAATCGTCAGTTGTATCCTCTGATTTTTGTCTGTAGGGATAACGTTTCTATTAACAATATCTTTCAGGACCCTTTCCTCCGTTTTATGAGCTGTGGAAAAGAAGTTCCTGTAAAATAGTCTAATAGGGGTATAGAAGTTGTGTTAGTTGTCTTTTCAGAGGTTGCATGGCATTTCACTTTCTTTCTTATGATGTCTTCGATGAAACCATTGGAGAAGCCGTTGTTGACTAGGACCTGCCTTACCCTACAGAGTTCTTCGTCGACTTGCTTCCATTCTGAGCTGTGGCTGAGAGCACGGTAGACATATGCGTTAACAACACAACGTTAACGCATATGTTGTTAACGTTGTTAACGCATATGTCGACCGTGCTCTCAGCCACAGCTCAGAATGGAAGCAAGTCGACGAAGAACTCTGTAGGGTAAGGCAGGTCCTAGTCAACAACGGCTTCTCCAATGGTTTCGTCGAAGATATCATAAGAAGGAAAGTGAAACGCCATGCAACCTCTGAAGAGACAACTAACACAACACCTATACCCCCAATTAGACTATTTTACAGGAACTTCTTTTCCACAGCTCATGAAACGGAGGAAAGAGTCCTGAAAGATATTGTTAATTGAAACGTTATCCCTACAGACAAAATTCAGAGGATACAACTGACGATTTACTATAAAACCAGAAAAACGGCCAGCCTACTCATGAGAAACTCTCCAGACACAAAGCAGAACGCTTTAAAAGAGACCAACGTCGTCTATGCCTTCAAATGCCCTCTTGGGGACTGTAATCTCCAAAAAAAACAGTATATAGGCAAGACAACAACATCTCTTTCTAGGCGTTTAACGATGCATAAGCAACAGGGCTCCATTAAGGAACATAATCTCTTCCCACAACCAAACCATCGCCAGAGAAATCCTAGTAAACAATATATATATATATATATATATATATATATATATATATATATATATATATATATATATATATATATATATATATGTCGTACCTAGTAGCCAGAACGCACTTCTCAGCCTACTATTCAAGGCCCGATTTGCCTAATAAGCCAAGTTTTCCTGAATTAATGTTTTTTCGTCTACCTAACCTACCTAACCTAACCTAACCTAGCTTTTTTTGGCTACCTAACCTAACCTTACCTATAAATATAGGTTAGGTTAGGTTAGGTAGGGTTGGTTAGGTTCGGTCATATATCTACGTTAATTTTAACTCCATTTAAAAAGAATTGACCTCATACGTAATGAAATGGGTTGCTT